GTCTTTTTCTTTGTTGTGAAACCTTTTTTTTTTTTTCTTTTCTCCCCAGAGTCTGCAGGAGAAAAAAGTAATTCCTTGCCCTCCGTTTTATGAGTCGGATAATCCTGTCAAAGGTACAGCTTTTCTTTGCTTCAGTTTTGTTTCTTCCATTGAATCATTGCACCCACTGTCTTCTCTTTGTGCCTGTTCTCCTAAATGTTGCTGTACATTTAGGACATGTCAGTGTGGTGGACACCAGTTTAAGGGTTTATAATATGGTCATAAAAACTGCCTCCAGGCTAAAACTTAGTGCATTAGGTTGAACATGGTTATGTTGAAATAAGGCATTAACTTGTAACAGCAAAGGTCCTCAGCCCCTGAAACAGCTTACCGAAAGTTGTGGTGGATGTTTCATCAGCAGAAATTTTCAAATCAAGATAGGATACTTTTCTAAAAATGCTATAACACAAGCAGACAGTAATTCAAGGAAGCCCTATTGCTTGCCCTACACAGGAGGTCAGAGACAAGGGTCACAGGATCCTCTTTGGCTTGAGTATGTGAATACACTAGGCTTTTTTTAGAAAAATAATTGCTTGTTGTTTTTACATGCACATGCCATGTATGAAAGAAAAGCTTCAGCTATTTAAAGAAGAGCAAGGATTTTTGAAGGCGATAACTCTATTGAACCAACTCCACGTTAAAGCTATTTAAAGAGAAATTTGAGTTGAATTAATCCTCAGGAGTGGAGGTAAAAGTTGCAGAGTCCAAGTTCTTACACACTTTGAGGGTTTTTTAAAATACACATCATAAAAGTAATCGTTACCTGCTGGCCTTTCAAAAAGTGCAGTTTTCAGTTACTCAGTTACAGATTAGTCTCTCTGTCTTTATGGCTGTTTGATTATTTAAAAAAAATGAAATCATCTTCATTCAAAACTGAACTACTGACATAAATGACATAAACTTGGAGTAAAAGCTGAAATGTCTTTTATATATGCAAAGTATTAGGAAATGTTGGAGTTGTCTTTCTCCAGTGTCCCAAAATGGGTTGGATTAGGTGTGTACTTCAGTCTTGCCTCCTGAATTTCCTAGGATCAGATTGGTCCTCTCATGTCATATGTGGTATGTTGTTTGTCATGTGGCTGGCTAGATGGTCTGTCAGAACTGTTGTCCATGCTATTGCAGAGGTAAACAATTTCCAAAAAAAGTCTTTATTTTAGTGGCATTTGTTTTATTTTTTTTTTCACTGCAAGCATAATAACCAGTCTGCAAGGAAGGGCTCTCTCAAGAAGACTTGGGCTGTTGATATTCTTGTTCCTTCTTTGTCTTCCAGTCCTGGATGTACTGTGGGTTGGCACATACGTCTTCACTATAGTGTATGCAGCTGCTGATGGGACCCTGGAAACAGCTCCTGAAGTGGTGATGGTCACATTACCAGTACGTGCCAAGAAAATATAATTTCTTTTTTCTCACTGTCTGAGTTTTCTGTTCCTGAAGTCAATGCTGGTGCTGTTTGTTCTTTTAACCTGCTTTTTACAGTAGTCTGTTCCTTTTATTCTCCTTAACATCAAATAGAAGGTCAGTTTGATGTTCTGAATTCAGGAGATAATTCGTTTATGGCTAAAAAGGAAAGGAGGATCAAATTTTGAGTGCATCCTTTGTGCTGGATGCTGTAAGGAGGCCTCCATCAAGAGACCTTTGGTTTGTCACAGATGTGTTGGCTACTCAAAAACTGATTTTTCTTGAAACTTGCCACTGGGCTGTGATGCTGCATACAACACCAGCTGCTCACTCTGGGGCTATTTATGCATCAGGATTCCATCCCCCTCATATTATCTCTTATAGTTCCCATGGACTCAACGTATTTGGATCCAGTTGGCTTTGTAAGATGCATTAATTGCCTCCTAATGTGTATAGTATCATTATTATTGCACCCGCATAAGTTTGTTTTTATGCAAGCTGAGTTGAGTGGTTTTAATGGACAGTAAATCACATGTTAATTCCTGTTTCTCTTGTCCATGCAGAAAAAGGAAGAGAAACGACCAGAGAAGTTTGTGAATTTCATGGAGCCCTGCTATGGTAGTTGTACTGAGAGACAACATCATTATTTTCTCAACTATGTTGAGGACTGGTGAGTGTAAGGTCCCATGATTGAGATTATCTGCCTTAAAATATTGTTTACAGCAGTCTACCCCAACCTATTCTTATTGTTTAACCTATAGTGGAGAGGGATATGACATCTGCTTGTTGAGCACATGATGTTGGGCTGCACTCTTTAACCTTTGCAAATGGACCCATTCATCTGTTGTGAATGTACAGCATAGCACAGATATACTAAAGATTTTTTTTAAAACTCTTTCTACTGAGAATTAAAGCAATTAGAGTATGGGTTTAGATTTACCTCCTCATGTGTCTGTGTGAGGTTGCTAGGTCCTGTTTGTTAATCTGCTAGATTCTTTTCTATTGCAAATAGTTTAGGATAACAATGGTGTGTGACTTGGCTACATTGCTAACAGATAAAGTAAATGATTTCCCCGGTGGGTAATAAATTGTCTTTCTGAAATGGTATAGACGTAGTTATACTGGTCTGTTTTAGATCAGTTGACAGCTCAGTTTCCTATTTAATACCTGTAGCCTGGCTATGAATTTAGGCTGAGGAATTCCAAATGGATAATTATCACTTTTGGATTTAACCCTGTTTTGATTCTTTACTTGAAGGGATCTAGTCCTAGCAGCTTCAGCAGCTTCCACAGAAGTCAGCATCCTTGCCAGACAAGGAGACCAGGTAACCTTCCCTTCTGTGGCACTTGTACAATTGTATCTTTTTTAGGAAAGAGATCTGGATCTCGGCATCCGAGGCATGAGGAACACTTTGCTTCAGCGTTTGAGATGCCACAGCATCATGAGATGAAAGGGATGCTTTGTTACCTCTCTATGTTGCCTGTGGGCAGGAGAATTCTTAGTGACTAAAACTTTACAGGACTGGAGTGGAACAAAACATAAAGTGAACAATGTGCAAAAGGAATAGTTTTGCATCGTTGGCTTGCTGCCAGCTTAACAAACAGAGTTGCTTTTCACCATGGTGCCCTGTTTGCTGGGTCCACCAGTTTAAACCAAACCTTAAAGACAAGTCATCTCAGCAAATTTAGATGTTCCATGTGAAAGCCATTCAGCAATTTGTGACAGTTTCAAATATTGGTGCTAGTTTTGTAAACTGACAGTTTTTGACAGAGAACATGTCTTGTTGCAATCTGTTCTTTCACCACATTGTACTGGCGCTCCAGAGCCAGGATCACAGCTGTTTGTGAAATATGAGAAGTTTTTGCTTCTTGTTACTATGAGTGAGTTGTGCTAAGAATGCTGAAAACCAAAAAAACATTGCTAAATCTTATTCTTTCTTTCCAGAGCAACTGGGAATTATGGGTTCTGGAAGACTCCAGCAGAGCAGAACTTCCTGTGACAGATAAGAGTGATGACACCTTACCAGTAGGTGTGGCCATCGATTATACCAGTAACATGCCTATACCAATCAGTAAGTCTGACCCAGGTGCTTTGCTAATAGGGAATACTGCACAGATAGCAGGTCAGGCACCTTTGGGGAAGGGGCAGAGTAATTAGTGTCTGGGAGGCTGAGTCTTAAGACATCTGAAAAGAGGCCACTACAAGGAATCTGTCCTGGGCTTTTATGCTGAGCCCAGTGCACTGTGACTGATCAGTGAACAGTTAACACTTGAATACATGTCCAAAAGCTTATTGTCCAATGTATAAGTTGTCTAATAAAGAAATCTATGTGTAGACAGGAACCAAAATGTATGCCTTGTGCTTTGTTTTCCATCATTTCCTTGATTGTTGGAGTTAATATTATAGTGGCTTTAAAAGCTGGATTCAGATTAACACCCTGGGCCTCAAACTAGCTGTAGAATTTCACTTAGGTATTTGTCCGTGAAAATGCTTTGCATGCTCTTGTAGCATGCCCATTCCTGCGGGGCTATTTTGTATTATAAGCACCCCCATTGATCTACAGGAGAAGCAGGTTAATTTCATTGCCAGAAGAAACATGGGTCACTGATGTATATGCTTAGGATTTAGCTCTTTATTAAAGCCTGAACTGACTTCATCCCCTGCTGTGCTCAACATGCAGCCAGTGGCGTTATTGCTCTACCTTGTGCTCTGCTTGAAGGGTTCCCACCTTCAGTCTCTGACAAGGTCTTTGAAGATGCAGCCAAGCTATTTTACCATACCTGGATAAACTGTGAGAACTCTCCCTCGAAGCCCGGAGATAGTTAGAAATGGAGGTGCCTTTGGGCAGAATAGAAGGTAGAGCAGTGACAAGCTATGTGTGAAGCACTGTGGGGTGCTGATTTAACTGAGAACCATGGTAGCTTTTGTTATAGCAGTAGGTTTCAGTAGGAAATTCAAGCCAGAATTGATGCAGAATTGAAGCTGAGGCATTTTCTCTGTTAATCCGTCCACTGCTTTTATTGGATTAAGGAATTTGCTGGGACCAGCTTAAGTCCACACATTACCTTATCCAAGTCTTTTCAGAGCCCATTTTCACACAGCCCATACCTTCCTCACTTACCCCTCAGGC